ATTATACAGCGAGAATTGCATATTAAAATGAAGGGTGACATATAAGTTTTTGTTGAAGGAAGTTGAAGTTAGATTTTCGCTACTGGCCAAGGTCTTGGGCCAGTTTCATTCAATTACCATTCTTTTCGACAGTTGTGCACACGAATAACTTGACATTTCTTCCCAGTACACTACATCTGAATCACATGAGAATAATAATTCGCTTTAGACCACTATATCCTGGGACGTGACGCCGTGCAGTCCGGTAGAAGTTGGCCGACATTTTGAAGCAATGCTGGTGAAATTCTACTAGACAATATAGCGTCAAATACCAGAAAATAGTACTCATCACAGTCACGGCTGTCGGCACATTAAATCCAACAAAATATGCACTTAACTACCCCTTGTGACAGGCATTTATGAATCCTGCAGGAAACACAGGTCAATGAGCAGCGATATCAGCAAGGCCATGATAATAGTGTTACGATTTTTGTGTCTTGTTGGAATGGGACATAAAGAATCAAGCGCTCGAGGGTTTTGCGTTTTCCCTAGTTGAAGGAAAGATCCAGAGGACGGCAAATACAATCCTGCCTCCTATAACATTTTATCTGCAGTCGCCTCGAGGTTATTATCGTCTGTAATAGTTGTCAAGTGTGTTCTCGTTTCAAGCAACTGCTGTAGTTTTATATGTATATTGTAGCATGTAGACCCGTTGCTAAGTAATGACACCGTTAACAACGGCCGCTGTGCAACCGCACCATGCAGGAACATCATCAATGTTGTTCATTTACATTATTAAGTATAACCTACTACACGTAAAAGAAATGTAATACCAGTTAACAAAGGATGAAACACGATTGACCTCAACACCAGTAGGCGCCAAGAACGACATCTGGTCTTTCTTAGAGACAAGCAAGCTGCATGTAACTTGCAGACCCAGAACAGAACAGGAAGTATCCCGCTGCGTTTTCTGGGAATTTCAATGCAGAACTTCAGCGGCACGAGGCTCTGAAAATTTGAGACTTGACAGATACGAATCCCAATAATTTTCGGAGAGGCGTGCCGAGTGATCGTTAGTGTACCTTCATTTATTTGAGAGCTGTCAGAAGGACCATCTAGTACATAGGCCCAAATTTACATGGATCTCGTTAAGGACTGGCGGAGTGTAAATGAGACTAACACCCAAATTTTAGGTGCAGCCAACCATTAAAATTCAGAGGAGAGGAAACCGGGCGTTCCCGAAATCGACAAGACTTCTGCCTCTCCGGAACGATCAGTCGTCTAAGGGAGTAGCAGTAGTAGCATCGCGACATTCGGACCTCCCGGACATTAAATCGGTGTTGGCCAAGTCAGATACGCAAATTCTATAATCGAGAAGTCGCTACAAGTGAAATACAACCTCATCTGACCGGGTAGCCAACAAGCGAGAACGCGAGTGGCGCAAATGAGAATTAATCAGCTAAGTTGCGGGAGTGAACAGNCCCCCCCCCCCCCCAATGTACCACACATAAGCGGAGAAGCGATACAACAAAGAAACTTACGGGAGGGTCGGTGTTAACAGCACAGCCCGTAGGATAGGCTAGTACATACAGCGGCTATCGAGTGTCACTGTAGTGACCAGGAGCTCGCTACTAGGTTTGTAAACAGTGCTACAGCCTTGCAATAGGTACTTCTCGTTCACATCTGCAATAACGAGCGGCAGTGTCGAATGAAGTGTGTGTTTAAAGTGTTCTCTATCTCATTGTGCGAGCAAGGCCCAGAAGTCGCCCTGAGACAGAATCTTGTCCTACCAACTGAGCATTCGAAACTCCAAACGCGCACCTATCCACGTGCCCCCCTTTTGTTTACCCCGCTCCAAATTTGTGGATTGCAACAAAGTCCACTGGCGCCCATACCGATTCAAATTCAGAGTAAATCCCACCCCCTACCCTGAACCAGACAGCAACGAGGAAGCGGCGGATAAAAGTGGAGGGCCAGGCAAGGCCAACACAGCCGCGGATACCACCCAGCAGCAGTGAACACTACGGTGAAGGTAGGTGACCGACCCAGAAACCGGCGGGCATCGATCGACACATGAGAACAAGAAAGGGCGGTCAAAGTTGATAGGTAATGGCCGTAAACAGCAAAAGAGAAATTATGTTAACTACGCAGACCGAGCAATAGTCAAGTGATGCAAAAACAGAAGAATAGGTAAAGGTGTAATATGCTTTATCGTAAGGGACGTTGTTCCGTTGTTTGTTTCGCGGCCGCTGCATAGAAATGGGTGTTTTTCAGAGCCGTTCACTAGCAACGGCCGTTTCACTGGCTTTCCAGTTCTTCCTTTGAGCAAATATGTCACAATACTTTCAGGATAGGGCGGTACTATTACATATTTTCCACCAGATGACGTAAATGGATCCAGTTCCTGTGTTCTATTCAGAACGCTAGACAATGAACAAGGTCTGAACACCTGCGTGTATACACCAACGTCAGAACCCTTCAGAGCTGATGGACTCCAACAAAGTTCGACACTGGAGACCCTATTTCCTTGTGAGTAATTTGCATATTATGCTCCTGCCCGAGCCTCTGCTCTTCACAGAGTTTCCACATAACTGTGGAGATCTACAGATGGTTTCCATGTCCTCAAAGCCAACAATCTGCCGGCGCAGGAAATGTATTTACACCTTGGGAGACGCGGAGAATAACAACTAGGCATCTCTCATTACGTAACTGGCTAGCATTATGCAGTTACATAAAGGAAAGTGATATGAGATGGGCTGGGCACGTATCACGCGTGGGGAGAATGAGAGACGAATGCATGACGTTATTGTAAAGCACCAAGAAGAAAGAGAGAACTTGGAAAACCTTGGCATAGATGTGTGGACTTAAAAACGAGTTTCAGAGAAACATGATGTAAATTCGTCAACGGCATGCAACTGACTGTAACTGGACATGGTAATGAAGCAGTAGGCACCGGGGTTCTTTTGAAACAGCTGAGAAAACATAATCTTTTCAAAACCATGAATTATTGCCACTACTACACGTGTTCTCAATCTGACAGTTCTGCGCAGGGCCCTACTCTCAACACATGCAATTCCCTCACTGCGCAGGGCAGGAAGTTTCCCAGTGAAAGCGTACACAGAACATCAAATCATGAAATTACTTCTCTGCTCTGAGCCCTTCGCAAAGGGTGGAGGGTTGCAGGGGATATGGATGCTGCAAGTTAGGGACTCGATGGGTCTCGTCACCAGTATAGTACCCGGGAGCGTCTGTCAGAAACCATGAGAAACCTTCAATGACGCAAATTCTGATGTGTCTTTAGACGCTGGCCCATTAAATATAAACATATGCAAGGGGCTAGCGAAGTCTGAAGCACACGACAAAATCAGAGCATAATGAAATCTTAGGTTGAAGTGTCAAGCAGTGAGAATGAAATGCACACCAATGAAGAAATTACAGATTGGATATTACTTATCGAATTCGATATTCATCATTCAAACCCCCTGGCAAAGGGCCAGGATAGCTCAGTCGGCATAGAGACTGGCTACGGGCTACGGATTGGACGACCGAGGGGTCGGAGATTGAGTCCCGGTAGGGTCAAGAATTTTCTCTTCTCCACGTCGTCCAGACCATTTCTGGGGTCCAACTAACGTCCTATCCAATGGGTACCGGGGGCTCTTTACCCGCGGGTAAAACGACCGGGACGTGAAGCTGACCACTCACTTCCAGCTGGTGCGGAGGTCAAGAAAATGCGGGTCTATACATCCAATCCTCCATACGCCTTCATGGCGTAGTGATTTATTATTTACCTTTAACTTATGCACAAATATAAAGTAAAAAATAAGGATTAAAAGTTAAAATCCGGAATACAGGAACACTAAATCGGATAAGGACACCCGTCTTGTTTCCTTACATGATGTCCTAACCCCAAAGATTGGTCACTGATGCCAAATCCTGCAAATTATCTCTAACATTTGATTACCAAACAGTTACTGCTGAGGGAGTGCAAGACAGAAGCATGAAACTTAATGTCATAGAAAAAGCACGCAAACATCTCAGTCATAAGCAAAATTGGAACTAACGACCCTGCAAGCCGAGGCATTAGCTTTCTTACATAAATTATTCTTAAGATGTGATGATGTATATTTTGGTAGATATTTACTGCCGTTTCGAAGGAATGTGTTAAATCTAATTTGAGGTTTCTCTGAAATGTCAGAGCACGTCTAGCAATTACACACAGCCATATACCAGAATCAGGAATCTTCATTGACGACTCGTTCAGAACCTGAACTCCGACACGTATATATTTGGGCATGGCCCACTGTCCTAGTTTTTTTATGTAAAAACCACAAGCTTCAGGAAATAGGTTCTACAGCGTAGAGCATATACAGAGGTTGCGCCTCGGCCCGGGTAGAGCTGCCGTCATACCATCTCCACCCTGCAGCTTTGCCCAGGAGGGGTTCAACAGTAGCAATTTATCCTACCCTTCCCCTCACCTGATGACCGAAGCAGAATCAATTTCCAAAATGCTCTAATTCTCATTTATAAAATCAGAACAGTGGTCAAAGTCCAGACAAGTAGCTTTTTAATATCCTAGTAGGAGTATTTCAGGTTCGCAAAGAAGTTCTTATCAAGAGTTGCTGTTTTCTGGGATATAAGGCCGTGTAGTCCGTTAAAAGTCAACAGACGTTTGGAAGAAATGTATCATCTCCATCTTCAGTGTCGACGAATAACCAGAACAAGATACCAGCGTGAAAACAGGTGCTCTGCTTGCCACCTTTCACGCAGGTTTCTTGTTCTGGTTATTAGATCCTGAAGATGGAGGCGATATATTCCTCCGAAACGCCGGTTGACTTTCAACGGACTACGCAGCGTTGTATCCCAGAATAGAGTGCTCTTCAGCCTTCAATGTTGTGCCACACATCGTCAAATAACTTTTAATTTAGATGACGAATTACGTCATGCTCTCCGCTGTCGGAAAGAACACACTTTCTTGACCTAAAAGTAGACGTAAATACGAATTGTCTATCAGATGGACTTACCGAAGGGTGTTCTCCTTTGACATTCTGCAGGGCCTTGTTCTGCGGCGCGGTGGGAGTCTTCACCTCTGGGACGGAGCCGGACGCCCCACCGGACCCCGCGGGGGACTTGCTCCCGGGCGTCCCGGCAGTCCTGCAAAACCACAACGCTTATTGCCGACTACGTCCACAGGAACCCTTGTTAGTTGGAAGTAACAGCCACGTCGACAAGCTAATCTCGTATCACATCCATCCGTCACATACAAACAAAATCTTATATAAAATTACACAAGCACATGCTATACAGAATGTCCCAAGAGGAAAGGGCATTATTCTGGGAGGTCACTGTATCGGCCATTCTAAGCAAAAAGTGTGTATGTACATGTGTCCTATTCCGAACGGTTTCCGACATAGAGCTGTTTCACTGTGCAGTTCCAGAACTGTTGATAAGAAAGAGATATTACGTACTGTGTCTGATACCGGTATTTATTGTTCAAGTGACAAGGTTGGTACAGTTTTACCTTTACTTTATATACATGTTACAAGAATAGATGCTGGGAGTATTTGCATATGATAAAGAATAACGGGGAGTGAAGAAAATTACACAGCGAGGACCGTAAGAATTGATTTAGGGCAAGGAATATAGTTCTATTTCAGGAGAGAACAGTCGAGAAAACCAATGCATATTGTAACGTGTTTTGCCGCTGAAGACGCCGTTCAGATTGTTAATTGGTTTATTTAACATCCTACAAATCCTAACTACAATTAATTATAACACAGTTGCAGGTTTACCCAATTTATAAATCCCACACAATAATCTAGTCACTCTGTCTTTAGTAGTCTTCACGTATTTATAACGCGGGAGCTATACAAGTCTCTCTTAATTACACACTCCCAATATAACTGTACTGCTGGCCCTTGCCAGCGCAGTCTTTCTCGGGTCCGTGTTCCTTGACACTCGCGACCATATTTTACTCTCAGATTTGAGACTTCCCTTTTCGTCGCCTCCTACGATACGCAGGGTCACGGTGGAGGTATTCGACCCCGCCTCCACACGGGTGTGACTTTTTAGGCAGTGTAGTTCTCTTATAAACCCTCAGCCAGACAACGGGAAAACGCCTCGCTTCCTTGTTGCCTAGTCGCCTTGTTTATAGGTGTAGCTGGGCAAAGCTGTCGAGAGTTGTTTACTGCTGCATAGCAACCGCGGCATCGCCCGCTACGTCACCGCGGGGGAGGGGGGATTATTGACTGGCCTGTTACCGTAGTAGCGACAGCGCCCGATGTTGTTACGTCACCGCTGGCGGGGGAGGGGATGTCCTCCATGGCGCAATACGTCACACTGCTCCCTCCTTAAGGCTGTTCATCCCGAATAGCCTAACGGTACATCCCCGTTCCTTTTATTTGCAGGCTGTTCTTGCAACGTCTTCTTTCTTGTCCGGCTACTCCTCTTGCAGCGGCTATCCTCCGTCCGTTACCTCCGCTCCCTTATTAAGGAATCCAAAGGATCATCACAACTGTCAAAGGGGGCTAGCAACGTAGTCCTATCCTGAGCCAGATGAATCCAATCCACTTTCTCACATAATTTTTTCTTAAACTAATTTGGTAGTACCCCCCATCAAAGCCTATGCCTCTGAAGTGGTATATTCCCTCGAGGTTTCAGCTACATTTTTGTATTAATTTCCCATATTATGCATTATCTTTAATAATATTATATTTCAGCATCCTGTTGCATTGACATCCGGTGTAGAAAATCGAAATTAACGGCCGTGGGGATTCGTTACACTAACTTCGTCGACAAGGGCTGTCGCTCGGTCGGTATAGTTCGCCTGCAGAGTTTGTTTTTGTTGCATTGACGTATCACTTGCTCGGCCATTTCCGTGTTTAACGCAACATAAACCATTCGCAGTTTCTCCTCGTATTTTGAAAGGCAATTAAAATCGCATTTAATTTTAACGTGTTTCGGCCTTACAAGGCCATCTTCAGGCATCTGTTCAAGGGATACACGGCCGACTAGTGAGAACTGCACACGAAGGGGGCATAATATGGACACCGCAAAATTCAAATAACGCGGAGCGAAGAGTGTTCATTCCCAAACAAACACATTTTAGTGCGAACGACGATATGCAAAAGCATGGGATGTAGTGACACGAACTGGTGCAGTGCGGCAGTTTAAATTTGTGAACAGTTGCCTGAAGATGGCCTTGTAAGGCCGAAACATGTTGCAGATAAATGCGATTTTAATGTAATTTTAAAATAAAGAAGAGACTGTGAATGGTTTGTGTTGCATTAGAGACGGAAACGAGTGTACGAAGAAAAACTTTCTTGTGTCCGATCGATGTAGTTCGCCCAACAGAGTTCGTTTTTTACGTACGGACGGAGGCGACTCCCGGTTCCCGAAACGTAGTTTCAAACAAAAATTAGGAAGAGTGCGAAGTGTGAAACTCTCCAATACGCAAAGTTAGATAACGTGTTTAGCTAATACTGCTCGGGTGATGAAGTCAATATCGGGTTTAGCAAAAGCATGCAGGCAGAGACAACTTGTTAAATACGGAAGTCGAGAAGACGTGAGTGTTGAAATGGCTCTTGGAGGGACAGATTTTGTGCGAACGAAATGAGTTGAACAGAAGCAATATTTTGTCTAAACGAAGCGTCGTTTTGATGTCGACAATGAGCTTCTTAGTTTCTTAACAACATGGGAACTAGGATACACGTATTCGGCTGACTCCCATTACCACGGACTTCGCCAGGAAGAGCAAAGTGTGGGCGTGAACAGCAACTGTATGTTGCTTACAAAAGGTCATGAAAATAATGTGTGCAGGGGAGGGCGTTATCTGTTCCGGGCTTACATTATACATTCCGCAAGCATTCCCACGAATTTACCAGTGGCATCTGTACTCAGTTCGTGTTGCAAGTTTAATCTGACTCCACACTGTCCGAATTTACATCAAGTTCAATTACATTTACTCAAAAACGGCTCATTGTACAGCAAACTGGTAAATGACTAACTCCATGGAGATGGGGCCTCCTTGAGAAGCTGCCAGTTATGCAGCTACTCAATATCTTCTCATTTTATGGGGCACTAAGGTTCGTTATCGTATTCGCAAGAGCCCTCCAATGGCCCTATCCTTAACCACATAAATCTATGTAAGATTTGAGGCTTTCACGGCGGTGACTATGAAGAAAGCAGTCTTCTGGGATTTGGCACCGTGTATATGTGGTGTTAACCGACGTTCCTCCGAAACGTCGGTTAACACCACATATACACGGTGCCAAATCCCAGAAGACTGCTTTCTTCACATAAATCTAGTCCATAAAACCCCATCCTGTTTCTCTAAGTTCCATTTCAATATTATCCTAGCACCCACTTTAAATATTCCTATTGCTCTCTTTCCTTATGGTTTTCCCATCAAAGTCCTATATTCATTCCTCTTCTCACCCATTCGTGCTACACTCCCTGCCAACCTCATCCTCCTCGACTTGATCATTCTAATTATGCTTGGAGACGAGTACAAGTTATGAAGCTCCTCATTAAACAGTTTTCTCCAACCTCCTGTCACTTCATCTCTCTCTGTTCAAATATCCTCAACACCCTGTTCTCAAACACCCTCAGTTTATGTTTCTCCATTAATGTCAGAGACTACTTTTCACTCCCATACAAAACCACAAGCAAAGTTATAGTACTAAATATTATAATAGTTACGTTTTTAGACAGAAGACGAAAAGACAAAAGCTTCTGAAATGAATGGTCGCAAACATTACCCGAATTAATTCTCCTCTTAATTTCTTCCTGAACAGAATTCTATCTGTTACTGTCGTCCCCAAATATCTTAACTGTGCCACGTTTTCAAAGCATTTGTTAGCTACCTTAATGTCATGATCTTGCCCTGCATTTTGGTGACGAGACAGCAACATATACTTAGTTTTCCTTGCGTTTACTGCTAAAACCAAACTCGTTACTAGCATCAACTAGATTTTTCTGTTTTTCTTTTTGGTTTCTGTATTATCACCCAGTAGATTCACATCATCAGCAGAGACCATAAGCTGATGAGGCCCATTTAATTTCAGTCCCACCTCGTTTCCTTAGACCTTCCTAATGGCATGTTCTAAAGCAAAGTTGAAAAGCAGTGGCGATAAAGCATCTCCTTGTTTTAGACAACTTTGAATACAGAACGCATCAGACAAAATATTTTCTACATGGACTTTAATATGGGTTTCAACTCAAATACATTTTAATTAACCTAACTAGTTTCTTGGGTACTCCAAACTCTATCACAATATTGTACAGTACTTCCCTCCTAACTGAATCATAGGCTTTCTGAAGTCAACAAATAGCTGATGTACTGTCTCACTGTTCTCCAATTCTTCTTCCAGGGACGCAAACATTTTACTTACATTTGGCCGATTACGTCGAAACCCACATTAACGATTTCCAAAAATTTCGTCTACTTACAGACCCTGATGAAAGAATATTCTTTCTACCTTGAGAAAACGCCATCCGACATTTTTTACGGAGTGGCATACCAGATAATTGCTACAATCAATTCTATCGCCCTTCTTGTAAACTTGCACCACAATGGCTTCCTTCCACTTGTCAGAGATTTCTACCTTACTCCAGAGAGGATTAACGAGTTTATGGAACTCAGACCGTAATATAATCACCTCCAACCTGAATCAGTTTTGCCGGAATTTGATTAATAAATAGCTGTTTATACTTTTCCAAATTTTCAATAATAATTTTAACTTGAACAGGGCTGGGGTCAGGCAGTGTTAGTCCTTGCTGCATGTATTTCTCTCTCCTGTGTATAATCAACAGCTGGGAGAAATAATTTTTCCAATTATTCTGCAACTATGTCACATTCCCACACACTACCAAGTTAGTTCTAGGTTGGTAACCCTTCTTAAATTAATTTATTCCTCTGTGTAAGTCTCTAACGTTCTTGTTATTACTGCAGGATGAAAGCTCACTAATTTTGTTTTTCAGATATTTCATCTTTTTTCCCCTGAAATTACCGCTGGCTTCACGTCTTGCATTGCCGATTGTCCACATTTATTTCGCTGGTCAGACCTATTGCGCACTTCAGGGCACGGTGATAGCAATGGTGATGGAATGGTGATCATCAGGTCGAAACAAAGTTACTCGCAGAATTATTTGCA